ATTGGAGCTATAGAAATAAACTGAATAGAATTGTTAGAGAAACATCCAAAGAAATCATGTTGTTAAAAACTCCTGGAAACAAATGATTCAGTCTGAGGTGCAGAAGGAAAACTCTTTTTCTGGTTTTGTTGTTTTTCTCCCTGCAGTTGGCCAGAATATTAGATATGGAGGCGAAGCAGCATGGAAGTAAAAGCTGCAGGTGTTTTAGTCCACGGCTTTCATTTCCAGACGTGTCAAACATCATAAATCCTTTATTTCTAACTCTTCTCATCCAAAGCTCTACCTCTGCTGTCAGGAGAACCATGTCTGTCCAGGACCACCACCTCCAGACGTTTGCCAGATCGGATGTCTGCAACGTGGAGGCGGCGATGAGCCGCGCTGAGCTCTTCAGAGCAGAATGCAACAGGCTGATCCTGGAGACGGAGAAGGCGTGCAAACGTCTGCAGGAGGAGGACAGCAAGCATCTCGGTAAGGTGGGGGGGGGGTTATAGTAATGATTTCCTCCTGCTGAGGTCAGCTGTGATGCTCTATATCTGCCGAACAGAGCAGCGCCTCAAAGACATCCAGTTCCAGAAGAAGGAGCTGGAGCTGAGGCTGGAGGAGATCCTCTCAGAGACCCAGGACCTAAAAGCCTTACAGGGCCGAGTGAGGAAGGCCCAGGAGACGAACAAGGAGGCGCGGAGAGTCAACGTTCTCTGTCTGGACGAAAGGTGAACCCAGCAAAGAACAGAGAAAACCGGAGGAAAGGAAGCAGTTTGAACTGATTGTCTGAATGGCAGGAGGAAGGTGGCTCCTTGTGGGAAGATGGACGACGAGGTGAACAGCGAGCTGCTGAAAGAGAAGCAGACCCTGGAGGAAGTAGCTTCTCTGCTTCACACTGTGCAGGAACAGATCTCTGAGCAGATAAGGTGACCTTTGATCCCCTGATCTTATTAACCAACAAGCAGGGGCGGATTTAGGAAATGTGGGGCCCAGGCAAAGACAGGCAGGGGGCCCTCTGAATGGAGAAGACATCAAACAGCCCCATTCTCCAGATAGAGAAATGTTAATAGAATATTAGAATATAATTCTTAAAGTGGTACTGAAGTCATATTTAAATGTCAAATCATTCTGGCTTAAACATGAATATAAATGTTCTCTTTATCAGACCATATTGTCCCAAAGTTTAGAAAATTTCTGTTAAAAAAAAAAAAAATCCTGTCTTAAAATCTGTTTTTTTTCCCGTTATCTTCTACAGGCCAGTTAGTTCTACGTCAGCCTGAACACCTAAATTCAGCCAATCATATATCAA